GCGGTACCTCACCGCCACTGCATCGCCACCCCAAACACACCTTGAATCTTGTCCGTGAATTACTCCAAGTCTTTCAAATCCGCATTGGGCTCTTTCTTAACAACACTAAGAGTTACCTTATACACCCTAAGATCTTTCCTCCTTCAACCTTTTTACATATTAAACAACTCTTTTGCTTTTCTTCCTCAATCCCTTTCAATATTTTGGGGACTTCGGTTTGTAATGGTAAGAAAATATTTTTTTTTTACTTCCCTTAGAAACTCTCTTTATTTGTTCCAAAATATCCTTTTTGGATCTGGGCCAATCTTTCTTCTATAAGCTTTGTTGGCTCTCTCAAAGTGGGAATAAACTTCAGGCAAGATTTATGAAAATTAAATACTGTCAGGGAGAGCATCCTTCTTCATGTTATTGTCGTAAAGGTTATTTGCCTAGTTGGGAATGTTTGCGTTATGTTAAGTGGGAAGCAGAAGCTCTTATCTTCTGGGGTTTAAGAAATGTCAATTACTTCTTGTGGCAAGAATGTTGGTTGGGATCTTCTTCTATTGACCTTTCTATTGGTCAAGTCATTCATTTTTCTCTTATAATGTATTTGATAGAGTTCTAGGATCGAGTCTGTATCAGAAATAATTTACGGGCATAAATTTCGAGGTGGATGACGCGTCGAACAACGTGCCGGGGACCAGGAGTAGCGGCTCATGTCCCGTACCTTAATTATGATGGTAAGGACTCCTCTAAACCCTTGTTTTTCATTCGTAGAGCCCCTAGGTCTAAATGTTAGAGGATTTAGGTTAGGGTTTTTGTGTGCTTAGAGAAAACCCCTTTAAGTTAGGAACTTTTTCGATTCCCCCCCAAATGAATCCAAGAGTAAAACCTATCCTTTCTTTTCTTAGACCAAAAATTCAAAAGACGCGGGTGTACTAATCTCGTCGTTTGTATTGGTGGTTTCATTTGGATGGACGTTTGAAACACATTGATCGAGAAGACGAAGTCGTTCTTTCAGTTTCTATCCTCTCGGTCGTGGTGAATCCTCTTCACGAGAGATTTCCTACCATGTGTCGTGCAAATGGATGTGGGCGTCTTGTGCTTTGTGTAATGAAGCATTGGTACTACTCTTTATCACTCGCCTACTTTAGGTTCCCCATGAGTTCTCTAGGTCAAGCCTAATTTCGACATCGAAATCAATTGGTCCTCTTTTGTGCATACTTTCACATTCATATCATTGTGCGCACGACATGAATATTAAAATTGCATAAAAATACATTTTTTTCATGTTTTGTCGATCAGCCGCCTCGGCTCAATCGACCGTTCAACCGCCTCGGCTAGATTAACCGTTCGACCGGCTCGATCGACTGTTCCTCATGTATCAACCACCTACTTCAGTTCAATTGGCTCGATCGATCGGCTGCCACCAGCCCAATTGACTCAACAAAACATTCTTCGTTGATCAGCGCCCTGACCCAATCCAATGTTCCTCGTCGATCGCCCTCCTATGCCGGCTTGATTGACCACTTCTGTCGGCTCGACCGATCGGCTGCCACCGACCGGATCGACTTGTTCGACCATTCTTCGTCGAGCAGCTGCCCGACTTAATTGAACTTCCTCAGTCGATTGACCACATACACCATTACGATCGACCACCACCGTCAGCTTGATTAATCGGCAGCCACCAGCCCGATCGACTCAACTGATCATTCTTTCTCAATTGGTCGTGCCCGACCCAATTGATTGTTATCAATATATCGCCTACGCCAATTTAATCGACCACTTTCGTCAGCTCAACCGATTGGCCGCCACCGGCCCAATCGGCTTGAGCGACCATTCTTCATTGATCGACCTCCCTGTCCTGATCAATTGTTCCTCTTTGATAGACTGCCTACGCCAATTTAATCGACCACTACCTTCAACTCGACTGATAGGCTGCCACCGACCTGATCGGACTGACCAACCATTCTTTATCGTTCGGCCGCATTGGCCTGATCAATAGTCCCTCATTGATTGGCCGCCTACGTTAGTTCGAGTGACCACTTCCTTCAACTCGGTCGATCGTTTGACACCAACCTGATTGGCTCGATCGTCCATTGTTCATCGATCGACCACTCCGACCAACTTCCTTTCTCGATCGAGTGTCTATGCCGGTTCGATCGAACACTTACTTCGGTTTGTCTGATCAAACACACCAACTTGATCGACTTGGCTGACCTTTCTTCGTCGACTGGCCACCAGGCCAAGTCTCGACCTTGCCTAGTCAATTGGTCGCTCTTGCTCGACCGACCATTCTTTATTGAATGGTCGTCCACGTTAGCTTGATTGACTCTTTTCATTGGTTTGACTGATCGACCACTCCCGACCGATTGTATCGATTGAATTTACTTGAATATTGCATTATTGAATGCTCGTATCACATTGCTTGCATCGGGACATTCACACTTGCACCCTGTAATGCATCAGTGAGCATATGCCCACATGTGTCGTGGTTGGCATTTATTCCCCTCTTTGACACAGCTTTTTTTGCCTCTCTTGTGGCATCCCCATGTCACTTTGCATCACACCACTAGTATTTGCACTTACACTTGCAGTCTTGCATGTTTTTTGCGTGATATCTTGTATGTTCATGACTTACACAATTGTGTTTGCATTCTATTTGGTGTTCACACACACTCATCGTTGACACTCATGTGTCTCCCATGGGGATGATTTTCTCACAAAGCCTACCTATTGTTTGATTCTCTCCGAATAAGAATCACACTTCTTCACCTTTCCATGGCAATGCCTCGGACTATTGTAGCAACTTTATCGATTTACTGGTCCTCACACACTCATTTCCGACACCATGTGTCTTTCTCAAGTCATTGCTCCTTCCACACTCACTCCCGACACTTTGTTTCTTTCTCGAGTCACTACTCATTGCATACTCACTCCTAACACTCATGTGCCTTTCTCGAGTCACTACTCCTCACACACTCACTCTCAACACTCTTGTGTCTCTCTCAAGCCACTGCTCCTTGCACACTCTCTCACCTCCCACAACACTGTTTCAGACTGCAGTAAGTATTTCATCTAATCACTGCTCCTCCCACTCTTTCACCTCCTATGACATTGTTTCAGATTGTCATTGAAGTCACTGCTTCTCACAAACACAATCTCGACACGCATATGTCCTCATGTGTCTTTCTCGAGTCATTGCTCCTCGCTTACTCATTTCCAACACTCATGTTCTCTTTGGGGATGCCTTGCATATCAAGCCTACCCATTTTGTGATTCTCCTTAGCGAGAAGAACACCACTTCACTTTTGTTGTGTGTCATGCATGCATATCACCGCAATGTCTGTGCATTCATCATTGGTATATACTACTATATGCTTATGGCGAATATTTGTTATCTTGTGATCACTCATACTCTGACGGAGTGGTCATAACACACCAGATCATGTTGCATTTGCATGCACATTCTTGATCGTCTCGACAATGAAATTGGCTCGTTAGCTGAGTGACCCTCTGCTGGTCACAACATGGTAGCTAGTATTGCCCGTGAGGGTTCGGTGGGCAATACTAGCTATTGCACTGTGAATAACACGCGTATATTGTGCTAATGTTTGAAGAAGTCTAATAGGTGTCACTTATGCTTTTCTTTTTCGATGACTTATTTTAAATATAAAAATTAATGTTTCTATTACTCACATGAATCATATTTTCATAACCTTTTTTTGAAACTACTTGCTTTCCTAGCTTAGACCCTAAATAACGTCAACACTTATGAACTCTTACAAAGCTTGCATCTAGTGACACTTCTTAGAATCCTTGGATCCTTAGGATGGGACTGGAGACGATGATCTCATCAAAACATACGCTAGCCTTTTTGCCTTCACTCTACACTGCACACACTTTAGATGTTGTGATAGTACACTATACATTTGATGGTGTGCTATGTTAGGACTAGGGTGCTAGGTAGTCTTTTTTCTATGTCATGTCTATAATTCTTTGTCGGTTTAGTTGCCCTAGTCAGGCAACCCTTTTTGTGTTGTTTTGTGTGTTTATTGAGTGTGAGACATGCACACTAGTATGTTAGGGGCAATTTTCTTGTAATGAGTCATGTCCAACAAGGAGGAGTTGAAATGATTTATCTAATCACAGTTTCTGCAGGTGCTATTAAGTTGATACAAAAGTTTTTCATGTTCTTTCTTTCGTTCGTCTACCTCCGTCGTATATCCCGTATTTTCCAATTCCCCTCTTCTCCAAATCATTCATGTGATCCAGAAGAGAGATTTACTCCGAAAAAGAGAATTATACGACGATAAGCAAGTTGACTAGTTCTTCAAAAATAACAAAGAGAAAAGAACAAAAATACAACCAGGACAACCCTCTTACATTGCTCCATATTGTTTGCCTGCTATCTAGCACCAACAAAACAACAACATTATGGTTTTCTACTAGCCAACCGTCTTTTCCACCTTGAAACCACCTTCCAAACCCTCGGCGATCACCACCACCACACATGGATTCTCATCAGTTTAAGTGTTTATGTCGTGGATGTTGTTGTTTCAGATTTTTTGGTATCATGTTGTTGTTGTGTTTTTCCTTTTAAATGTGTTGGTTATAACCATGTACTTACTTTCAATAATAATATTTGTTTTTTTCTATTGAGGTTGTGTTAACTAAAAAATAATCGTGATTATTTTTCTTTCGTTTTCCACATAAAAATAACTCTTGTCTACTCTATTAATTTCACATTACATGTACGTGTTAGATTTTCTTACAGCAGTAAGACCTTAATTCATCACTCTATCGCCACAAATTTAAGAGCACACAACAATAATAAAAAAATGAACAATTTAGTTGAATTCATATTAACACATTTAAAAAAAACAATCAAATAATTTCATGAGATTTAAGTGAATTTATTAATAATCACAGCAAACAATTTTTGAGATTTTAACCAAGAAATCATCAACAGCCCTTAAAGCAAAAAATTAGAAAATCATCAAACTTGCGGTGCATTTGAAATGAGACCGCGCGCAACCTTTTTCCGATGGTCGCTCTCTTATTTTCCTCCTTTCCCCTCTTTCTCTCCCACATCCACCGCTTCCCACCGCTCGCTCCACTTGACGACCATCCCTTCCTACACCGAATTCACTGCGCACCTTCTCGCCCTCTTCTCCAACCTCTCCAAAACTCCAAACAACCCCAAAATCCTATCTTTTGTCGATTCCATCCTAACCCAATCCCATTTCCTCGACTCCACAGCATCTCTCCTCGTCCTTCGTGGCCTCTCCCGGTCTAATAAGCTCGCAAGAGCCAAAACCCTGATGTCGTCCCTCAAGCAAAGAGATCAAATTCCCACCTTTTTCCTCTACAGCATCGTCCTCCAATGCCTGCTGCCTCGAAACCCCATCCGTGATGTGGAGTGCGCGTGGAGTGAGGTATCTGGACACTCCAACTGTGCCGTTACGGAGAGATTCGTGTTCTATGTTAGCTCGCGGTCTGATGATGCGTTGGATTTAGAGCCCGTTTGCCGGCGGCTTTTGTCGAATCAGTGGGCGCTAAGCCGCAATGCCTGCACCGCGCTGATTGCCGCGCTGTGTTTGAAGAAGAATCCTAATCCTGGTTTGGCCCGAGAGGTATTGAGGGGGATGGTAGAGAGGTCCTTGGAAGTTGATGAATTGAGTTACTACACTGTGTTTAGGAGCTTCTGTAGAATTGGGGATTTGTGTTCGGCTGATTCGGTGCTGAGAGATATGCTTTGTATGCGGGCTTGTGGATTGGATTTGTTAGTCTATGAGGATTTTGTTCGCTGCTTGTGTAAAGTTGGAAAATTTAGAGAGGCACGTAAGCTGTTTGATAAAGTGTCAAAGAGTGATAGAAAACATAGTTCCAGTCTTGGTACTAATGTCAAATCTGGCAGAAGGATCATATTTCAGCTAAGGTTTTCAGGTGTGATATCTGAGACAATGGCATTTGAAGCTTATTTTCGATCCTTGTGCAGATATGGGAGGCTGGAGGAGGCAGAGAATTTGCTGCAAGAAGCCATGAGGAAATACTTAGTGCCAGGAGTTTGTGTGATGAAGTCCTTTGTAAATGCTCTTTTCAGTGCTGGTCGGCATGAAGAGGCTATCAGATTCTTCAGAGTTGAGAGGAAGAGAGGGGATGCTTCTGCTGGGGATCTCGCTGCCACAGTTATTGCAAATCTCTGCAATATTGACAGAGTTGATGATGGCTATGAGCTTGCTTGTGAAGTTGTGAATGAGGGATATGTTCTAACTGCATGGGTTTGGAACTTGATAATGAAGTCATATTGGGAAGGTGGGAGAATTGATAATGCAATGGCTATCTTTGAAGGCATAAAGTTGGGTACTTTATGTCCATTCTTGAGGCCTGATAGGTCTACTTATGCAATTATGATTCATGTTCTTGTACGAATGGGAATGGTGGAGAAGGCAACCGGCATTTTTGAAGAGATGAGGAGAGAGAAGTTTGCAGCAAGTGTTGATCTTTATGGTGTCCTTGTTAGAAATTTGCATTTTTGCGGGAGGTCAAAAGAAGCACAGGAATATTTGAATTATATGATCGAGAATGGTGTCTTTGTTTCTTATGCTCAGTGGGAAGTTCTATTTGAGTCTTTGTCATCAATTAATGGCAATGGTGTCTTCCCTAGAATATGCCAGGAAGATGATGAGTCCAACTAAGTAATTTTATGTGCTCCCTGTTTTAAGAATGTTGGATTTGTGAGCAGAGATGAGCAGAGAATTGTATAATTTTGTGCTAAACAATTAGTTCTTTTGAAATATAATACATTTATTTGATATTTTATTGCAGAGAAGTTTGAGCATTATGGCTTTTGTTAAAGTTCTAATCTAGTTTATGTAAATATTCTAATGTTATTCTTTATCCAGCTCTTATTTTAGTCAACACAAAACTAAAGTGTCCTACTTCTTGAATCATGAAAATCCTAAATGTATGTTTTAGCTTGACAGCTATTGGACTATAGATATGGGTGTTGAAGCGGCCAAATGTGAAAGTTGAGCACAAAACTAACATGGCATAAATTAGAATTGCAGCACCCTTACACTCACTATATTCGTAACTGATTCCATCTTTAATTAGGTTTTTATTTCCTTCTTGTATATAGGACATGTTAAATCAACTCAGCATTTTGCCCTATTTTACCCCTATGATTGAATACGATTGAATTAGGAAAAATGAGAAATCATGATTTTCACATGTTTTTTAAACTGAGAATCCTCATACAACTTGGCATCAATGTCATATCTTATTTTGTGTGCGCTGAATAGACAATATACTATTTTTCATCGCAATTCAAATGCGTGGAAATCTTCAAAGTTAGAGCATGATTCAAGATGTCATACCGAGGAGCTTTATTTCTAGAGATTGATGCTGTGAGTAGTGCGATAACTTTAAGATAGATCTATCCTTTAGTTAGTGGTGGAAACTTGGTGTTGGTGGTGGCCACGCCAATAGATTTGGGAAAAAGTATATGTTTTGAAAATTTTACTATTAAATTCTCTTGTAATCTTGTATATTATGGAAGCTTGAACTCCTTCAAATTTTACGTAAATCTTTTTGCCTCCTCTTACTTGAAATATTAGGCAGAGTGATGATAAAAGACTTCCACTACATATGCTTGCAATTTAGAGTTTCATGTTATCTTTAAGATCTCTCTCATTCCCCACTGCATGCACATAGGTAGGGTTCCTTGGGAGGATTTAGAAATTTCCTTAGTGCTGGTGTGAAGGCTTCATATTAGGGTTTCTTTTTTTTTTTCGGTCAGATAAATTGTGGAGCTTCTTCTTAGTTTGTGTGAGCGCACTTGGTTATGCGAAAGGATATGAATTTTCTTTCAATTTACACGCTATTTTTGTGGAACATCATGTGTAGATTGAATTTTCACTCACATCCTATGAATTTAAGCATGGTTAAAACATAACCACTTAAATCTTGGCGCCTTTCTTTATAGTTTTCTTCTTCTATATTTTGTTTGTGGCATTTCATTTTTATTCATTGGGACTCTTCCACATTTATATCTTTTGGCACCCTTGTTACGACAATATTTTATGTATAGTTTTTCATAATTGATTATTGATGTCAAGATAAATTTAGTGATTTTTGTATCCCTTATTTTGGATTTGTAGTTTTATTTGTTGTGAGGTTTTAACATATCAATGTCTTGAAGAATTCAATAACTTGAAGATTTGACGTTTTAGTTTCTTTTCCCTTGTTTCTTTCAATTTTCTACCGATTTTCACTATTTTGCTGCATATCTTGTATTTCTATATGTCTAGTTAGAGATATCAAATCTAATAAACTTTAAGAGCTTCTTTGGAATCACTTTTGTTTTTTATTTTTTGGTTTTTTTTTTGCTTATATTTTAAAAACATGTTTGTTTTGTGTGTTTTTTTTCATTTTTTTTTATTAAAAAAAATTAAACAAAATAAAATAAAATAAAAGTAAAAGGCAAAAATCAAACGTGATCCCAAACGAACCCTAAATAAATGAACCACAATGATTTATTCTATACAATGTCTTTGGGCTTATGGGTCGTAATGCATATCTAATATGAGATAGGGAAATTTGATGTGATAGAAAATTGCTTAAAATAAACTATTAGTTCTAGACAATTATTTATTTCGTTCGATGATGTTAAAGATGATGGATATTATTTCAAATATTACAGGTTGATAGCTTTATACTAGTAATTATGGGGCAAAAAAGCCACATGGGTGTTATGAAAATCACATTCTTGATCAAAATCAAAATAATGTCAATTATAACATAATACAATCACCCTTTCAATCCAATAATGAAAAGTTTGTTGTATAAGGAAAAAGAAAGAGCAAAAATTTGAAAATGAGCACGAAATCTTAGTAAATTCATTATCTCATTATCTATTATTTATGGATCTTTTCATTGCATTCACTTACCTCGAAGCAACCACTAACATTTGATGCAACACCTGCACGTCTGTGGATTTTTTTTATTATTATTTACTTGGCCTTCCGCTTTGTCATCTTCTTAAAAACCTTCCCAATTCTAATGTATTAATTGCTGATGGACCTTCTTTCTATCAAATCTTAAGGATATGGTTTAATCATGATGGTAGTATCTTCCATTGGTGTTAAATCCCAAGTTTTTTATGAATTCCTATTGTGTTATTTGTGTCAAGCCCAAAGCCATAATATCTCAAAAATGAAGAAACTTTGGGGCTGTAAAACTTGAAATTTTCAGAAAAATGGCATAACTAAAAGTAGAGGATTTATTGATGAGTTGTAAAATTTAATTTTTTTTTTAAAAAAGGAGAAGTCCCACATAGGTGGTCCATAGAAGTTAAAATAGAGCCATTGAACTCGTAAAATAGATTTGTAGAAGATGAACTTTATGGAAGAAATTGAGAAAACTGATCAAACACAGTAAGTCGCATGAAGTGAAACCTTATGATCAACTCTGATCTATGTTTTAAAATTGAATAAAGGAATTTTGTCGAGACTTGTTATTGCAAAAAATAACATAGAAACCTTATTGACGCCTAACACAGAAAATTTTTTTGTTGATAGTATGATAGAGATCCAAACTTTAAATCAAAACTTTCATGACAGGGTAACATACTTGGCTTGTACATGAACTTTTAATTATAAAAAATAATTAAATATTAAACATTCAAACTTTTTAGCTTAGGGGCTGTTTGGTATCATGTTTATTTTTATTTTGTTTTGTTTTGTTTTGATTTGATTTCAAACAATACATGTTCGGTATGTTTAATTAAGATATTATTGTCTTTGAAAAGTGATTTTGTGTGCTTTCAAAAATATATTTATTTTATTTTAGATTAAAAAAAAAAAAACATGTTAAAACACATCATACAAACTTGTTTTTAAAAACTAAGGAAGCAAGATAACACAAAATTGAACCCAAAAAAGCCCTTAACTTGAATATTTTCTACTGGAAAAGTTGATAGAATTGTAGATTCACATCACTTTATACCCATTAAGTTTCTATCTCTAATTAGCATATAGTGATAAAAGTTTATCATCGAAACTCAAGGTGATCCTGAATGCTTGTAAATGAATAATACTTATTACCTAAAAGTTTATTTCTTTTCCTATAATTTTAATTTTCTTTTATGGACTCATATTATAATAGTTTAAACAGCAATCTGTTTCATATTATGACCTTTTGGATGCTGTTCACATTCCCATCGCTATCTTGGTACAAATTTCTAGCAGATGATGGTTATTTGTAATATCTTGTTCATTTGTTGAACATTCTTTGCATTTTTTGCATGCTGTTTTGTAATTATTCATGATAATCATAGCTTTTATTATTTAATTTTCTTGTAATTTAATTTGTTCTTTTCATTTTGGTGTCTATTTATTTCTTCTATGTTCTTATTGCTGGGTTCCCTTTTAGCTTGTTGTTTTTTATCATTGGATGCCCATGCCCTGTGTTAGGTTGGATTTATATATGATTGGTTGTCCTAGTAATAGAGTTCTTGATTTACTGGTTATGGCAACATTAGATGGAATATTAAAGCAACTTTTTAAATTTTTTTTGCCTTAAATATTTTCTCTTAATTTAGGGACGGTTTGGGATCATTTTTAATTTTAATTTTCTATTATTCTATTTATATTTTGATTTGAAATGAAATATGTTTGGTGTATTAAAATATAACGTGATTGTTTTTAAAAATCTAAAATAATTAAAAGTTATTTTGAGTTTTTTTAAAAAAAGATGATTTATTAAACAAATAATATGTAGAAAATATACTTAACAAACATGTTTTGCTTTTAAAAAGAGAGAGAGAGAGAGAAAATAGAAGCAAAAAATAATCCTAAATTGGCCCTTATTGTTTAATATTTTTGTGTTTCTCTTGGTTGGCATTTGATATTGATAAGAAGCAAGATAAATAAAGAGGGTTCCCATTTAGTAAGAACTTTGCTAACATTATATTTTTCTTTGCTTCCTTATTTTTGTAGGATCTATAATTGAGAGAGCTAAGTTGGTTTTGATCCATTGAATGAGACCCTAGACATCACTTCCTTGTGCCTGTTTTGGAAAAATCCTTTTGCCTTATACAACTTATGGTATTAACTCTTCATTTTATACTGAAGATATTAAAAATTTGAAAAAACAAGCCCTTTGTTAACATACCTTACTTTGTTCTATGCTTGTATGTACTTCATGGTCACGTTTTGTATTGGAACCCGGATTTGATTTTGGACACCTGAATACATATTATGTATGCTCAGAACTTTCTTGCCTTGTCTTCCATCATATTTAAATTTTCATGTACATTAATGAAATTATTTCATAAGCTATGATATTTTACATCCATATAAACTGTAAGAGAAATCAAAATTATATTATTGATACTTAAGATAAGTTTTGATACCTGCCCCATTACAAGATCACATATTTGCAAAAAATTGTTGCTGAAAGCATTTGAGGTAAAAGGAAATAGGAAAAAAACTACAAACGACAACCAAACAACAAATTTTATGACTTCATGTTATACTGTTTTTGTTATTAGATAGGTAGAAACCTTGCAGATCAAAATCAAACTACATTAACGGCAAAAACGGTTCGAACCAAGTGAGCGCCATCCGACCAAGTCAATGAACCAAAACAATATCCCTTGCCTGCGTTTTTTGCATCAAAAGTAACTTGGTATGAAGCTTTCATCCCTCTCCTCTCAAAGAAGAGCCTCTCAGGCCAGACCTTCACCTCAAGTCCATTGAGGGCTTCCAGCTGCACCACATATGTGCTGTTTGCCGGTCCAACATTGATCACACTCCTATGCACAGTCCTCACCCCACCATATCTTCTGTTGAGCATCGCTACAGAGATGGATGGATAATTGAGCTCTGAGATGAGGTCAGTCGATGGGTTTGGTGGACAATCAAACTTCTTAATGCCAAAAATTGATCTGATGACCTCGTTTTTGTATCCGTAGTAACAGAGGAAATACAAATAATCGTTTGTTCCCGTCTCAAAAACAAGCCCTGGGCTTAAAGCGCTCAACGGGCTAATTTCTCCTGCCCCCATATCATGATAGGTGGCATTTGCTCCTGAGCTAGTTGTTAAAGTCCTTCCGAGATTATTTGTCGTCTTTGCTGGCATGAGGACAAGTATGATTAGTATTGGTACGAGTTGGTTTCTCCCTTTGATTTTTGACATATAGTAACAATAAGCACTTGTGGTTTTTAAGCTTCAAATGTCTTGCTAATCAAAGGCTTGTAGGAGCCATAGTAATTGTAAAAAGTGGTTTACGGTGGGTTTGGGCCATCAAAAATGGTTGCAGACCATCATTTTAGGGGAAATATTTGTATTTCCAAGAGTAATCCAATGCCACTAATGACTTGCAAATCAATCAATGTAGATGTTGTTTGAACTTTGACGAATTTGGATGTAGATGGATGCAGTTCACAAGAAGAGACCACATCTGTGCTGCTTGTGGGGAGTGGGTGCCAAGGAATCAGTTAACTGGCTAAATGTGTCTTCTTGATTGTGTTTGAATGGTGACCTGAGGAGGGAGCATGTGTCTATTTTTTACAGTAAATTTATCAAATTTCAAGGATATTTGCTCTTTAATATAACCTCTAAATGCTTTGAGATCCAAGAATTTACATTGAACATTGTGCTTGATTAGATACTTTCTTTACAATCACATTACATTTTGTTTTTATTGAGAAATTCAAGCTTTTTGTTGAAGCCTTTGGATTTACCTTTTTTTTTTTTGATAATATGAGGAAAATGCTCATCCTTGCAATTATTGAATTTTTTCACAATATTGTTATATGCATTTTGTTTATGGAAGAATAAGGCTGAAATTAAAAGTAGCATTTTGAGATCATTTCATGAGCTCTATTTTCCTGCCATACTATCACTTATGAATCATGAAAATGTTGTTGCTTGCATTTGACTTGGCATCCGGGTGTCTCTATCCTTTGTTTTGTTTTTGAAAATATGATAAAAATTGGCACATTATTTTTTTGCACAAAGTTATCATTTATTTAGTTGATGCTTGCAAAGTAAAATGAACTTTGTGCTTGAGGAGGGGTTAGAATGGTAACTGCCATGGCTCATCCATAAACTAAAACCACTTGGCCTATTCATGAAAAGGCATATTTCGCATTTTAAGAGTTAGTAATAGTGATTTTTTTGTTGTGATATGAAATATGTAAATACTATAAACTAGAAGTTAAATTTTAGTCATTAGATATGTCAATCTGTTGAAATTTTTGGTATGTATGTAAATCTTTCTTAGGTTCATTGATTATTTATATCTAATTTACCAACGGAATTTATTTACCTGTGGTCATGAGAGCTGATCTAATCATAGAGGGGCTCCACCTTGGATGCACAGACCTAACAAAAGCTGCTGCACCTGCAACATGCGGGCAGGCCATGGAAGTACCTGATTTTATTGCAAAACTCGAAGGTTTCTTTCCCTGCGGTGTGGTTTCCCTGTTTTCTATTGGTATGGAGGCTGCCAAAATGCTAACTCCCGGAGCCATTACATCTGGCTGTTAACATGAACAACAATAATGGAATAAAGTGTCAAAATGGTCCCATGGCTCTTTGGAGGGAGCCTTTTAGTCTCATAAGTGTCAATTTAGTCCCCTGGACACTTTTAATGGGCGAAAATAGTCCTTTCTAGGGACAGGTTTGGCTCATATTAAAAGAGTATGAGGATTGTTTTGACACTTTTATAGACTAGGATTAAAATGGCCCATGTCAATAGTCAAAGGACTATTTTGACACTTTCCTCTGCAACAATGTCAATGGCAAAAGTACTTACAAAGAACTTAACTCAAAATTTGGAGCAAGTTTTAGTTCAAGTATTTTAACCTTCAAAATTGACTCGGTTAGCCCTCCTGGCCCTCGGGAGGAGAAGTAGGCAACAACAGGTGCTGGTGTAATCTGGTCCACATTGATCGTAGGAAGAATGATGGCAGCAGGAAACCTATGATTATATCTTACTATTGTCAAGTATAGGAGATTACTGAAATTTGTAAAGATCATCAAGTTTAAACTTTTTGTCGCTTTACTTGCTAGACTTCATGTACCGGAGGATCTGAGCTCCGGCCTTATTACCAATTTCTGAGAAGGCAAAGCTGCCGGAGTCGAAAGGGATCCCTTTCTCGTCCTCATCAATAAGGATTAGTCCTTTAGCTCCAGCATCTTCAGCAACCAATTTTTTCACTCGTCTTGTTAATGATGGATCACTATCTACACATATAATTATCTTCCCTGCTGTTTTTTTCATGTCCAGTGAACCAGGGTAGCAGTTACTGCGATTCGAAAACCATGGTGGAGAAATGAGAACTTCATGCAATTATGAATCCTTATAAACAAGGACCATTTTGTTCAGAATTAACTTAAGTTCAATGATATAACACTTGAATTTTGTGATGATTGGGAAACTTTAGTTGAAGATGGAAAAATATTGGAGAGATACCTTGCTTCTGATACCGGAGTAAACTCTCCCGCAGCATCGCCGCCGAAGATGAGAGGGTATGATTCTGATCGAGTGTGGTTTGAAAAATTTATGGCAACTCCCTGGGATGAATAACATGTAAGTTTACCAAAGAAAAGTTACTCTTTCCATTTAATTACATTGTGAGTACTATTATGATCATGCTAATGAAAAGATTTGCCAGTTATGCAAACGTTTTCAATTTCAACTTCGATTGAAAATAATCATGTCAATTGTGCTAAAAATTTTAAGCTCTGTAAGCACAGTTATTTCCGTTATTGATCCACGTGCTTTGCTCTCAGTTCACTGCATTTTACTAACTATGATCAAATTACTCAGAAAACCAAACAATATGATGTATCGTGCAATACCTCTAAAACTTCTGCATTGCCTAGAACAATGGTGGACTGAAAACTCCTATCAATGCTAGAAGCTGCAACAGTTAATATCCATGGAGCTGTATTCACCACAGTGAAGGGGTCCGGTCCATCATTGCCGCCAGAACAAACCACCATTATTCCTTTCTGGTTGGCATGGAAGGCTCCAATGGCTATGGGATCACTGAGAAAGTCTGACTGGAACACCGAGCTCATCCCGAGGGATATCGAGATTATGTCGACTCCATCACTAATGGCATCATCAATGGCCTTTAGTACAGACGAGCTGGCACAACCTCCAAGCGAGCAAGTCTTGTACACGGCGAGTCGACTCATTGGGGTGCCACCTTTCGCCATTCCTCTCGCTAACCCATAGTAGCTAGCATTGGCGACTGTGGAGCCAGCCGCGGTGGAGGCAGTGTGTGTACCATGACCTACTGTGTCTCTCGGAGATCCGGTAAAGGCGATGCTATGCGTATGGTTTCCGCTTCTTGATGAAAAAGGAATCGAGTCAAGCTGACCACTGTAATATCTTGCTCCAATCAACTTTCTATTATGCAAGTAAGATAGCAATAGCTTGTTAAATTTCATCCTTGTAAAATAACGGAAAATTATAGTTTTAGATCACTTTGAAGGCCACTGTTTGACTTATTTACCTGTTACAATTTGACCTTTTGAAGTCGAACCCTTCGATACAAGTTCCTTTCCACCTAGATGGAATTGAAGTCATTCCTTCATCATCAAAACTAGGTGACTCCGGCCAGATTCCTTCGAGTTATGAAATAAGATTAGTAACAATTTAAAGTCTTAGCCATTTGCTTTATGTAACATTGAACACAAGCTGGCATTTTTATGTAGAAATGGTAAATCAGAAAAGAGTAAGGGAGCCATACCTGTATCTATAATTCCAATTATTACATCATTGGTTGCTCTACGGTGCGCTCTTTCTGATCCCAGTCCAGATTCGGCCTCGAGAAAATCCCAAGAACGTGTTGTATGCAGTTGAAGATTTCGATCACGGAACACAGCTACCACTTCATCACGACCTGTTTTCCAGAGTGAAATTTTAATCTTTGCTCTAGAAAATGATTGTTTTGAATGATCATGTGATTGGTGTAAGAAGTGAAAAATGGTGACAATACTTGACAAAATATTGGCTTCCTGTTTTGTAAGCATTGCTGAGAATCCATTGATTGCATGGCTGTAACTTTGAATCAGGTTTATCCTTTCTTCATCCTCACTGGAAAAGGGCAGGAGTGTCAAAAAAAAGATAATCTATATAGGGTAATCTTTTTTAATATCAATTCCTTGAAATTGTAGAAGACAAATAGAAGTTTCTGCTAGAAAAATAATGCCTTGGAATGATGGATGATAGCAATCGTAGCTGTGCTGCTTTCATTTCTCTTGGATTTGCAGATCTTTCAGTTCCAGTGCTCCCCATGTAGACGATATATGCCTGCTTGTTCGATCGAAATGTGTGATAATTTGATGAAATAAGCAGGAGAAATCCATGGTATGATTGAATTCAATACTGTTTTGTTCAACTTGTGATCTCCCTACCTTTGGGATCTCCGATGTGGCACGAACAAGAAGAGAGGCTATGATTAGGAAGCTGAATTGAAGAAGGTGCTCTCTCATGGATGATAACTGTTTATTATCCATTATTGATGTAGATTAACCTAGTTTAGATGGTAGAAGTTGGCACTGCTTGAGGGGACATTTGTAGGCTGTCTCCTGGATCTTTTTATTTAGATCAAAATTCAAAAGAATTGGCCTTTCAGAGTGTCATCAACTTTTGGTGTTTCAAGCTTGTCTTTTACATTATGAACAGTAAATAGAGGAATTGAAGAAGGTGCCACAGAGCTTTTGTGTCTTTATTCGAGATATAGAATAAAAATTCTTATAGGTTTTTGTTTTTGTTGGATTCAGGAATTAATCTATCCAAATCTAGCCCTTTTGTTGGATAGTATTGTGAGTAAGATTTTAGAATGGTGATTTCCTCTCTTCCTCTTCCTTTCCATCATCACTTAAGAGGACAATACATTAATGAGATAGAAACTATAGTGTTGGAGTTTGTGACACGAATTATATTAGGTTCGGATCGAAGAAACCGTATTGTGACATGTGAGACAACAATAGATTGTGACCCAATCCCTTTGCTACCACCATATATCCCCACGGGGGTACGGGATGTGGTAAGCCTCGTGGTACAAACCTTTTTGTGTGTAGGAAAGGTTTTATTAAAGCTTTGTACATGCCTATATAAACAATATTTTTTTCTGCTAGTGTCTGTGGCATTTTATGAGAGCTGCTATTCTCCACTGTGACTTCCTTCTCTTGATTTTTCATGCAGTTCTCTGTGTTTATTGATTTGTGTATACGGTTTATCTCTTTATTATTATACTTACGAATAGATTAAATCAATTAATCAATAGTAACCATCTTATTGAGAGGAATCAATTAATTGATCAGTATTCTTAATTGACAAACAAATCCCTTGCAAATATACTATTTACATTGCAGTCTAATGGATATTCTTTAGTCTTGTTTGCTTAGTAGTTCCTCTTGGCATAATTGCATGTGCTCTTTCTAATGTAATTTATTCTCGTAATCCCTCTCTCTCTCTCTCTCTATTTTATTTCATTCATTTAATATTGTTTCTCCTTCTCAAAAGATGTTCACTTCATGGAACTTTCTTTGAGAAAGATGAGCATAGATGCTGAAACTCATGATCCAAGACATGATCAAAGTAAAAGGTATCCTGGGACTTTGCAAGGTGTCAACAATACTATTGAGTAACATATACTTTATTAATTCGAGCCAAAATAAGTCAGATATGATCGAACAAAAGTTCGTACATGCTTAGCTCATTTATAAACCGAGCTTAAATTTTTTTTTAGCATTTTTCTTGCGTTTATTGTAAAGCATTCCAAACACACTATATTTCAATTACGTTGATTTACTTTTACTCTGCATTCTCTTTTCAGCAAATCAAACCGCTCCTAAATTTATTCGAGAAGTTAACTATTATTTTTATTTATTTTTATTAAATGGAATGTTTCTTATATAAACTTTATACCTTGCTTGGTCACAAAGGTCAGGAGGATGGCATCTCTCACTTAGCTTTCTTTGTGGGGTTGTTGCATGTGATGCAGATGAAATCTGAACTTGGAAGCAAAGAATATCTGCAGCACAAAAACACAAAGGTATCTTAGCTGATCAATTCAATTCATGGATTGTGGTGAAGTCGGTAATATTTTATCAGTAAATGGTTGTCAGAGTTGGTTGCTCATGATATGGACTGATGTTTGCAGCTGCAATTAATCAACGAAATGAGCAGAATTCTTTCTTTTTCAGATGAATTTGTTATTGAAAAAATGTCAATGCATTGATTGGTTTCTAGAAGTGCAAGTGGTATTAAATTGAGAGAAAATGGATGTCATTATGGTATTAAATAGTTAATGGGTTTAAATTTCTCGTGAAGAGTTTAAATAGTATATTCAAGCAATTAAACGCTTCCAAATATGAGAACTTCTATATTAAATTTTTATGGGGCGTTTAAATAAACACTCTCAATTTCTCAGGATTTACGGATTTAACACTTAAACTTTGCTTTTTTACATTTATACAATTGTATATATGGAAAAAAATTAAAGTTTAGGTGTTGGATATGTAAATACATAGGAATTGAGTGGTATATATGGAAATCTTTCTTTTTATAGTTGATACGTCATCCACAAATTTTCTTCTTCATTTGGCATGAATCCTGAGATATAGCATGGATTCGAGGCAAAATTTTCTAGCAAGAAGCGTTCAAACTTTGATTCAAAGTCAGTCAAAAGTTCGATTCTAGCAAACTTGCAGTCATAGACCGGCTCGACGAGATGAACCTAACGGTAGGAAAACCTAAGTTGAATTAAGCCCATAAAAAACAATTTAACTACTTATGGAAGCTTTTCAAACTTAATTTGAAGATTAAATGGTTTTTGAATATGAGATACTTATAGTCAAATTGAGCGTCTCTGTGAGACGAATAAAACGAGCCCAAATCGCTCCATTCGAGCATCGTTAAGGTAGTACAATGTCTATCAAACACCGTATAATCAAGGGGATCACTTCGAGTCGTTCGATCAAGAGTATTTTGAATTCCTACCTTATTTGCAATTTGAGCTCTATAAACAGAGCCCCAAGCCCCTCTTGAAGGGGGACATAGACCTTGCTACAAAAGCAAATCTAGATCTTATAGAAAGGGGAGTTGTTGCTCTGCATCCTACATCGCAGATCTGACTATCATCGCCCACCATCGACCTCCTTCACCTGCAGCCGCCAACCGCGGTTGCCATTGTCAGCCTCTCGCTCCAGCAATCACAAGTCAACACCGCCCGCCAACTCTTGTTGCCACGACCTTCGATGGTTGCAACAGCCACCACCTTCATCCAACTCTGATCATAGTCGGTCATCGCCGTTGTCGCCTACCCACTTTTGTTGTTGTCGCTTCTGACCAACTCAAACGCTAGTTTAAACCAGCTCCAGTCACCCCCGCTAGCCATCGTCGATCATCATCAACGGTCACTTGCTCATTGCAGCTCATTCCCTTGTGAATTCACAACGTGCACTGCGAGATCTCGGCATACATTGCAAAGTAATGACACACTCCACTTACAGTGGGACAATATCTTGCGAAGACGACATAACAATACACCCCAAAGTTGGTGACTTTCTCCAGACTCTCAAAGCTCCCTTCGTGTAGCACCCGACTCGGCCCCCGCGACCTACGAAATTCGTCACAGCTCGCCACTACATCATATATGACCAACTGCAGCCTATGTGGTTCATTGCTTGCACAACTCTTGACTCCAACCCTCACGGCTTACAAACATCTTCACAGCTCGCCGCTACGACTTATGTGACGAACTACAACCAACGTAATTCCCAGCTCGTGCAGTTTTCAACTCCGACCCCCATGGCTTACAAATTTCATCACAGCTCGCCACTACAGTTTATGCGGTTCATGGCTCTTGCAACTCTTGACTCCAGTCTCTACGGCCAACGAATGTCATCACAACTCTCCTCTTTGACCTATGTGATTCACAGTTCTTGCAGCTCACAACTTCGGGCTTTGTGGCTTTCAGACATCATCACATCTTATTGTTATGGCTTACTTAGTCAATTATGACCTACGTGGTTCAAAGATCATGTATCTCTCGACTACGGCCTCTACGACCTACGAACGACATCACAACTCACCTCTACAACCTACGTAACCAACTACGACCTACATAGTTGACAGCTCGTGCAACTTCCAACTCCAGTTTTTGCGGCTTACGAACGTCGTCGCCACTCACCACTATGGCCCATATGACCAACTACAACCTACGTGACTCACAACTTCTATAACTTTCTACTACGGCTTTTATGGCCCACCAACGCTTCTGAAGCCACAATTTGCAGTCCACATGACCAACTATTACCATGACTTTCAACTATTGTCTATATAACAAACTGGCGCTACAACCACGATCTATAACATGTACGACGAGCTGCCTTCATAGCAATCAACTATGACCCTTGCAACATACTATCATCGAGAACTATATTGATTACAGACAGACTACAACTATTATCGATGAACCACTGTTGTATATTTACAATGATCATCTCTGTAGCTCTATCTTCTCTAACTCAAGTGGACTTTTCTACTCAAAATTATATGGTGGATCATTTCATCTAGGCTAGGCCTCGTGATTTTTTCCCTTTCCAAAGTTTTTCACATAAAATCTTTTGGCATCGCTTTTGATTGCTTACTTCTATTTGAATGTGTGTTGGATTTTCATGCAATGTTAAAAAAACAATTCATCACTGTAATGTCGCAAATTTTCTAGCATGCATCAATAATTATGTATATTATAGAAAATTTGTTGCTGTAATTAAAATTTGAGGTAAATTGATTCATTGTCTCTCATTGAAAAATTATATTCCTCCACTATTTACATTATAGCGTAAATATAAACAATCGTTTTGCTTTTCAATTGGCATTTATTTAATTCCATGTTTATAAAATCATTTTTTATTATTGTTGATTTCAGTCACCCGAAATTTTCCAAATATTTTTGCTTTGGTAGTACTCTAATAAATTATATAAAAAAATATATAATTGTTGAATTCTTTTGGGATGTTAGGTCCGGTATTATTCGTGAGTTCACACAATCTGAGAAAACTTGTATAAGAACGTTGAAGGAAGAGGATGGACGTGCTCTCTACGCCTAAACTATATGTTCTTATAATGATCATTCTTCGGAAGAGTGGAGAAGATGATTTAATGAGCAAGAAAGAATGAGAGAAGAAACAAAAGAGAACGTGAGAGAGTTACCACGTGATATCCCTCGAACAAGCTAAAACAAGAGAGAAAATAAAAAAAAAGAGAGATGATCTCTATTTATATATGTTTCAAAAATATTAAAATATGAGACATGGTATCAAAAATCTGTTCACCATATCTCGATAAAAAGTTTACAACATGGATGTCAGGTAGCTCATAAATGATGATACGATATATGTCAAATATTGCTGTCGGTTGTGACTTTTGCATTTTGTCAATTATGTTGGTTACATTATTGTTGAAGCAAGCTCAACAGATTAAATATGATTGATCAGTCTGCTAGGTGAGTCCAGCAAGTCCGTCTACCATGCCAGCAAGGTAGACCAATCCTCCAACCAGCACAAGACAGATGACATATCGACGAGTGGGGCCTCAACATATTATTCTTGTGACGGTTTTCTCTTTTGACTAGTTGACAATAATATAAATTTTAATTAATTAATTATATTATTGCGCTTATTTTAAAACAGATTTAACTTATCTGAGACTCATTCCATTCAACCTTTTTATCAGAAAAATGCTGAACCAATATTTTTCTCAACGACTTCGTATACTGAGAGCTTGGAGTGCAAACCAGTTGAATCTTAGACTAATAAATCATTATTTTAAACGTGAGTTTGACTAATTAATCATTTTTTTACCACAAACAGCTTAAAAGTTAAATAATTTGCTATTAAAAGATAAGATGATTTGGATTTAAATAATTGTTGCATTAAAATGATTAAGAAAATTAGAAATTAGAAGAGAAATAGTGGGAATAAGAAGGAAAAATTTAAAGAAATAGGCCAAGATTCTGAGACATATATCTTAATGGCACAGGCAGAGCTATAATGCTCCTGGTGGCTTAATGATGCTACCATGTTTTCTATAATGCTCCAACTGGTTTGTGGAACTTGTGGATATCGAACTAGCCATGGGTAGGACTTGAGTTGGCTATGAGGCCGGTATCAGGTCTAGCTTTTAGGCGAGTTGATACGTAGCTTCAGTGTTATGAGCTAGCGTGGGCCCGAAGCAAATTATCGACGAGATGGTGTGTGGGTGGGCCTTAATTGAGCTAACTCACAGACTAGATTTGCGGGCTAGTAGATATGACTTAACTTATCCCAAACTGATATGTGAACTAACCGTGGGTTAGCGGGTTTGATTTGATATATGGACAGGATATCAATAACCAAGAATGCGAGTATAAACTTTGATGTCGACATTGGACATTAGTGTTAGTGGCATCATCAACGTCCTAGTTGATGATGACATCATGCCCTGATTTTGTTGAAAAGGCAGAAAAACTTATTAGTGTCGGCCACTGCTAGTGCCGATGGCAAATGGCGACTTTGACAACATTGAAGGACATCGATGTGTTTCAATAGATGTCAATTCAACCATCAAAAGTGTGCATAGCTGTTATGGAGGAAAACAAATATCAACAACTTTAATTTACAATGGTACACAACAATTTTGTTGGCATCAATGATCATTTACATTAGCATTGTTGTATATATTAATTTAATTAGTAATTGAATGCACATCGACCTAATTGTTGATGATATGGATCTGCATTATTGGCAATAACGTACATTGTCATTGTAGTAAATGGCTTGTATTTATTTTATTGGCAATGATATGCATCGATATACATCTACCTTATTGGTGACTGTGGGCAATGATCATGACATCGTTTATCAACTTTGCTGGTGATAGTAGCTGTTAATATTATTTGCAATGATTGATTTTAATGTCCGCTTAACAATGCAGATCATCCTTACGTATGATGATAGACATAAACGTGACGGTAAAACATGTGCAATGACTTAGTTCAGTGTCGATTACAAGCATTGATGTTGACAAATGGTTGTATTTTATGTGAATTTAAGTATAGTTATGAAGGTATGTGCAGTTATATGATTATTTATTTGTCCATAATAAGAGAAAATATTAAAAAAAAAAAATTAAGGTGTGAGAAGTGAACAAAATATGAAATATTTTAAAATAAAATCTAAATTTTATTTATTTTTATATTTATTTGTCTTTGAAATCATGTTAAAAAATAGTCATACAATTATTTTTAAAATACAGCGACTGATAATGTTTGAGTTAGCTTTTACACGTATTTCATAATATGATATGTGAATTTTTTGGGAGCTTATTTTTCTTTTTGTGATATTTTGTTGGCGCTCAGCTTATTCCTTTTTGTGGGCTGATCTTAGATATGTGTGTTACAATAGATTTTTTATTTTTTACAATCATAATAGTGTTCATATTTTGTAAGGAGAGATTTAACTATAATTAGAGCATATATTATATTTTGTTATATAGTTAAGTGATGTGATGAGAAAAAAAATATTTTTATTTATTATTTATTTGATGATATAAGAATAACTATATAGGTCTCTCTCTCTCTCTCTCTATTGACATAGTTGTAATTGTTGAATAAAAAAATTCTTTCAAAGTAAATATTAGGTAAATTCACCAAGTCTGTACATGCGTAGTTGAATCAATATTGTCAGACCATCATCATCTGATTGCCATAGCTGCCACCACCATCAGATTATTGTAGTTGCCATCAGACCATTATTGGCCAATTGCTATTGCAGTTACCAAACCTCCTGAGTCGAACTACCATTGACCAGTTGCAACTACCTCTTGATCTTTATTGTCTAGTTGCCACCGTCACTTAACATCATCGTCGAACCGCTACTAAATAATCATAGCTATTGTCACTGGACCATCTTCACTGAGTCATCCCCACAATCTAATCATCGTTGTCTGATCACCATCATTAGACCATCGTTGTTTAGCTACCATTTTTATTGTCAGACAACTGTCACCCAACAATCATTGTTGTCATTGGATCCATTACGTGGTTGCATCCACTACCGAACCATCGTTCCCCGATCGGAGACGTTGTCATTAGATCACATTCGATGATGTTGCCATCAGATCTCCAACATTCAAACCAGATTAATCGGTTCTCTATTATCAATTCTCAAATATGTTGTATCTCTTCTCTTGCAAACTTCAATCTAACAACCCTAACTCTTATAGAATTGTCTTCTTCTACTTAAAGGACAGACAAAGTTTTATAAAAGATATCTACAAAGTAAAATCATTTTGCCAGTGCCAGGCTTCGGGTTCTCCATATAAAAATCTCATGTGATTTTTTATGTTTTTTATTTCACTCTTTCTATATTAGATTTTTGTGCAAAGCTAAGATAAATGCTCGTACTCTATGACTGACAATAGTTTTGTACTTCTCAAAAGGATTATCCTTGCTAGCCTTGATCGGTGCATTAGAATTGAAATCCATCTATTACAATTTGATAACACATTTGAGTTGCCTCTAATTCCATGATAAAAAAACCATAGTTTGCCACCTTAATTTTGCTTTAAACTATGCTCATAACATTATAACATATCCTTCAGAAGAACTTTTAAACACGCTAAAAAATTTATATAAAAAAGTTATTGAACTAGCTTTGAGATTGATAAAACTTATAATCAATTGGTTAAAATCCATGTTACACACATCACTTAATAAATACAAAAATGTAGACTTTATTACAAATCGACGGTCACATTCAACTTTTTGATTTAAAAATCCCACTTTTAATTCATCCGCTCGGTTGGTCATGGCGTTCCAAACTTGCGCGCTGGGGAATTGACCTAGTCTCCAGTATTTTACATCTTCGCTGGGCCAGGGATTGATCCCGGTGCCCTAAATTTCTCGCCGTCTCTTATCTGAAGGTCGCCGTGGTGGTGGATTCAGCATCCAGCCTTTTGACTGATTTCCGCAGTCAAAAAAGAGGGCTCCCTCCCATTTCAGCCGTTCATAATTTCCTTCTTCTTTTATACTTGTTTGGGGTTGATGGGTTCCTCTGCAACAGAGCGGTGGCGCCGCCGATGGGAAACTGCGCCGGTAAATCGGCCAAATGCGCCAACTCTTCTTCACCCTTTACTTCGAGTAAGTTTTTTTTTTCAATTTTTTTCTCTGTTATATGTTGGAAATGGATTAAAGGTGTGATTTTGTTGAATGCTTTAGTAGGATTCGAGATTCGGTTACTTTTTAGGACTTGGTTTTGCTTTTCTTTCTTTTTGAGTTTGAAGGAATCTTTCTTATCTTTGCTTCCGCCTTTATTCTTATCGTTCTATGGTTTTATGTTTCAAAACTCAAAACTTTCTAGATTTGCTAGAAGATTAGCTGCTCTCAACAGAGCTGTTTAAATAAGTTGAATGAAAGTCAATTGTTGTAGATTATGGTGAAAGCTACTTGGGAGACCTTCTATCCATATAATTGCCTCTTTCAGCTTATTGTTCAGCTAAATTAAGGGATTTTTATTCAGAATATGGTCTGAAACATTGGTAGGATGGATTGATTTCTTATTGCTGATTTGTGATCTATTGAGTTGTATCAAGTTACATGTGTAAAGTTCTTTATTTGGAAGGTTTTGGAGGATGAGGAAGATAGGCATGTGGTATAAATTGTATAATTTTAGGTTGATATGCATTGCCATCTTTAAGGGGCTGTTTGTCTGCAAGTAGGATTTAGTAAATTCATAAATCAACCGAACTCCAGGATTCAATAAATCCGGGATTTAGGCTGAATCTAAGTCAAAATTGGATTTAGTAAATCTGTGAATCCTTAGATCTCCCAAATCTTGCCTTTTGGTTGGATTTAATAAATTCGGTGATAAGTCCTTTAAAATTCTCTCATACACCAGATATAAAAAAAGGGAAATAAAAATGTACAATTCAGATTTTCATTCTTTTCTGATCTTTTGTTATATAAAACATATAAAAGGAAACTACTTTATGATGGTGCTCCCTACTTTATATTTAAATAGAAAATTGTGAAACAGTGTTTGCTTTTTAATCCTAACACTAGTTAAATCTTCCATAAATTCAAATATGTGAAATTCGGTGTTCTCTAAAATGCATCATATCAATCAAACTATAATAGACTGCTTTGTTCATGAACCAAACTAGTCCTTGAACAACTGTGCTAGAAGTAACTTTTGATGGTTGCAAGTTGTAATTTTGAGAAACTTCGGTAACCAAAATGTTTTGAAATATTAATATCTTTTCCTTTGCCTCATAGAATATTATAGGCATAAAACCTTGTTTTTGCACATCTGCATTTGTTTGTCCCATTTCAGTTGTGAGAAAATCTGTAATATTTTCGCCTTATTCTTTCCAGGAATTAATTATACCTAATTCCAAATAAAAATTGTCATTTTTTTTCCAGAAAATTCACTGCAATGCAGTAATACTTCCAGCTCAACGGCTTCAACCAAAACAACCACAAATACCATGCCTAGCTCTTTTCCATCGTTCAAAAGTGATAAATCATCACCTTCAGCGAGCCTAAAGTCGTTCTCCTTGAATGAACTGAAAGCCGCAACTAAGAACTTTCGTTCAGATTCTTATCTTGGCGAAGGAGGATTTGGAATAGTTTTTAAAGGTTGGATTGATGAAAACTCATTCGCTCCCACAAAACCTGGAGTTGGCATTGTTGTCGCTATCAAGAAACTTAAACGGGAAAGCTTTCAAGGCCACAAAGAATGGCTTGTATGTTTCCAAATGTGCATCTTTTTGTCATAATTGGGCTTTTGTTTTCACCTTTTTTACATTATTAAGGTATAAATTTCCTCAATTGTTGAACTTACAGGCAGAAGTGACATATCTTGGCCAGCTTCGTCATAAAAATCTGGTGAAGCTCATTGGTTACTGCTCAGAGTCTGACAATAAACTTCTTGTCTATGAATACATGCAGAGAGGGAGCTTGGAGAACCACCTCTTTAAAAGTTTGATTCTTTCTCCATCTCTCTTTCAGTAATTACATTTTTGTTTTTTAATTTGGTAGCATAAAAATATGCTTTTATTACATCCCTGTCAAGGTTGTCTCTTATCAATTGAAATTTTGTTGGGAAATTTACATACATAACACACAATTCTTATGTACTTACATATATGACAACTAAAATTTGATATTTACACTCATAACACTTTGATGCTATAAACTGATGCATGAAAAAGGCATAATTCACTTTTAAAAAGTTAATAATAGTGGTATTTTCTATGTGATCTTAAATATTTGAGTGTTGTGCATGTAAATATGAAAGTTTAGATATTAGATATGTAAGTGTATAAGAATTGTGCGATATGTTGTCAACGCCCCTTTTTTTGCACATTTCTATTGTAATTTTTGCACATTTCTATGGTAATTTTTACTGTACAAGCAGCCATGGGTTTATGCATTCTAGACTATTTGAAGGAGTTATTCTGAACTACTACTGCTTTGAATTCTGTTTCACAACAAAACCTCAGATTAATGCTTCATGTGCTCCTTATTGTCTCATTAAATTAAATAAAAAAATATTCAAAGTTTTCTAATTGAGTAAGATCATTTGTAAGCATAGTTCAGTTTATTGATTTGCTTTCTTGATTTTTTTTTCTTTCTTGCAGGAGGGGCTCAGCAGATATCATGGGTGATGCGGGTTAACATTGCAATTGATGTTGCTCATGGATTATCTTTTCTGCATGGCTTGGAGACACAAGTGATATATCGAGATTTGAAGGCATCGAATATTCTACTCGACTCGGTATGTTTATTATGTTGCCATAATTATTACTAGTTGGATTCTTTTTCCCGAGTTTATAGTCCCTTACAAGCGAGTTGTTTGCAGGATTTCAATGCTAAACTCGCGGATTTTGGCTTAGCGAGGAATGGTCCTACTGGAGACAAGACTCATGTTTCAACTAGGGTGGTGGGAACCAGAGGTTATGCTGCGCCCGAATATGTCGCCACAGGTTAAATCAAACTCTCAATCACTTTATCATTCAAGGTTACAACGAACTCTAAATCAAACATAGATGACCAAAAAGAATAGACATAGAAAAGAAATCAACATATAAAAACATAGAAAGTTTGTAATATTTGTTTGTGTTCCGCTCGTATGAATTTTTTTGTTCAAAATGCTCATAAATAACATGTCCGAAATAGGCTTGATTCGATTTAGTTTGCATTCGGCTTGAAATTAGCTCAAATGATTTAATAATTAAAAAAATTAATTTTTTTTAAGTAAAGCATAAAAAATAAGGTAATAATGTTATAAATTAATTATTTAGTTGATTTGAGCTAAAACAAGTCAAATATAATCGAACTAAGTTTGTTCATGTTTTGTCATTTTTAAATTAAGTTCAAAAAATTATTTTACGTTCGGTTGGCGTGATTAACGAATCAATTGACTACAAGCTACTCAGTGTACTCAACATGAGTTGTACGCGAATGATGAGCTTTTTGGACAAGCCTAGCTACCGCTATAGATTCCACCATAGTTATTTGTCGATAATTGATAGAAAAAGGCTCTTTCCTCTTTATTAAAAAGATTAGACTGGTGAGAATGCAATAAAATTTTTAGAAAAATTTTTAGAACGCCCCTTAACGATGCGTCGCCTGCGACTGTATGTATAACACATTTTTTTTCATACTGCAAAAATGAACCTCCATAGCTTAACCTTGAATGCATTTTGTCATAAAAGTGACTTATGTATTGAAAATGATTATTTTTTGAATTATAAAAGTGTTTTTCATTTGGAAGCCGGCCATTTTCAACAGCTCAAGCTTTTTCTTCAACGGAAATTAAAGCTGTGATATCATCCTTAATTATCTGCTTCTTTATTGAGCAATAAAGTCAATCATTTCATTAGCATGGTCGCCACAATTGTTTGGCTTTTGACTAATCAAATTTTTGCTTGCCATTATAGAACTTTCTAATTCATGCATTTAAAATCAATAGCATCTTTTTCTTATGGATGAGCGTTGACATAAAAACTTCAATCAACAGCGTTGTGCATCAAACGTAAAAGCATTTAGGATCCGTTTGGTTAAGCTTTTTTTTTTTTTTTATCATTATTGTGATTTTAGAATGTTGCCATGAAGCAGGTGCCAGCTGATTTGCATTTAGTGGAAATTTATTTACAAAGAAAATTTGCCTTTAGAATGAAGGGCCCGTTTGGTAAAGATGATTGTAATGTTATTGTGGAGGAAATAATTATCTATATTGTGACATATAACCTTTATTAAAATACAGCTGCTCTTCATTGAAATTTCTGAAAAGCAGGAGCTGTTGGAAAAGTAAAACAGTGAGAAAACTACCCCAAGCATATCTAAAATTATATAAAGGATAATTTACATATCTAACCCTTAAACTTCAATTTTACATAAGAATTGGCTGGTATGCATGTAAATGCCACCTTTTATAAATACTTCTTTAGTAGCTTTCTTGGCAGATCCTCCATTTACCTGAGACAACTTTTTGACTGTATTGCTGTCGCAAAAACCAGTAAAAATCAGTCTTCATTTGACAAAAATCCGTTTTTTATAATCATAATAGAATTATAACTGAAAATTTTTTTTAATTTTTAACAGCTAAAACATAACAGCGTAAGTGTAACGGTGAACTTTCTTCTATGGCAGGTCACCTATCTGTAAAGAGTGATGTATACAGCTTCGGAGTCGTGTTGTTAGAACTGCTTTCCGGAAGGCGAGCTCTGGACGATGAGCGAGGATCCGCCGAAGACACCCTCGTCGAGTGGGCGAAACCCTTTCTCGACGACAAGAGGAGAATGCTGCGGATCATGGACACGAGGCTCGAAGGTCGTTATTCGAAGAAAGGAGCTCAGACGATAGCCGCACTTGCCTTGCAATGCCTGGATGATGATCCGAGAAATCGGCCGAACATGAACGAGGTTCTTCCCGCGCTCGAGGAGCTTCGAATACCGTCGAAGGAACCAACCAAAAACCAAATTTTTTCAAGAGAAGGAAGATAGTGTGGGACTCATAACTTGTTGAAGCTCTCTGCAACTTCTCTGGGCTGTATGATTGTACAGAAACATGGAGGAAATTGATTGAGTTGGGGAAAAAAAAAATGTCATTTTGCTATATTTTACTTTTGTGGAAATGATGGTTTAATGGAGTAATGGTTTTTGTACAGAAATTTTGAACTCTAGAGATGATCTTTTTATGTTTATTTTTGAATTTTTCTTTTTAATTATTTTTAGAATAAGAAATTGCAGCTTTTCTTGCTTGTTTTTTCAGTTGTTAACATGGAATTGTTTTTGTAAAAACCAAAATATTATGAAGTTTAGTGAAATATGTTTGAGAAAGTGTTGCTTATTGGGATAAATTGGGGGTGGATCTAAATTCAAAATGCATCATTTAAATGAATTGTTGATATATTCAAAATGAGCTATTTTCTAATTATAATAATATATTTGCAAACATAAAGTTTTAGGGGTGAGATATGTGAATACCTCTCTAAATGTCCCATTCAAAGTTGTAGATTTTTAATTTTGATTCTAATTTGAGTTAAATTTGAGACTTAATAATATTTAATTTTGAGTGTAAAGTCTATTAAATATATAACATATTTTAATCAATGATTATAATTATTAGTTATATTAAATTGCTTAAAATATATGTTTAATTGTGCAATATAAAATATATTTAATATTACATATTATTTAGAATGGTTGTAATTTTCAGATAATTATGATACTAAAAATTGAATATTACAGATCTATCCATTTTCAAAATGCTTGGTCAAATATCAAAACTCACGACAAAGTCCATTTTATGCGGGCAAGGCAACGGCCAACTGAATCACGATGTTATGGACAAGATTTTGATGTATTGAATGAATATTGAATTTGAAGAATCAAAGTTGAGTGAAATGGTGTATTAAATACTACATTAATGTTATAATAATATAATACTAATATTTTTATTAATGCAATATGTGAAATTTTAATATATAAGGTTTGGCTCTTAAATAGGTCAAGTATAATTCTAAATTAAAATATGAAGCAATGATATTTTATTTATGCGCATCAAAAAGATGTTGTTTGTTGATCTCACGGGGATGCATCGATTCAAAATGAAGTAACATGATGAAGGAAGATCTCCTGCGAAGATATTATGGGATCCATCGAGATAAGTGTAGTTTGAGAAATTAATTTAAAGGAAAATATGTAATTCAATAAGAAAAATAAATATAATTTTTTAAAAAAATTAAAAAATTAGGCTTAATTTACTAAAATTGACTATGGATAGAAGATGCAAATATATAATCTATACTTATATTTACTTAATAGGATTTATTTATTTTTAGTATTATTGATATTTATAATTGTTGTGAGATATGTACTTCCTGACATAGAAATGAGGCGCAAAGAACACAAGCAAACACAGATCGTTTGCGTGGTTCGATCCAACTGAATCTACGTCTACGGGAGGGAATCAATCAAATAGTTCACTAAGACAAAAGAAATGGAGAATACATAGCTTGTACATAGAGATAAGCCTTCATCTTTCTTCTATGGCCTCTCTCTCAAGCGATACCTTGATACAAGGCCTCAAGATGCTCTCATCCTCTCTAGTTCTGTAGCTATTATCTCCTCCTTTGTGGTAGCTTAACATCTCTTCCTTTGCACTTCTAAGACTCACACCTTCTCTATTATCTAATTCTATTAACGCTTACCAATGAGCCTTACTAATTATTTCATTTTATTATTAAGTAAATGCTTCATCACCTTAAAGATAACATACTTTTAAATTTTTAAGAAAATAATACTTGCATTATCTTATTAAAATGAAGATGTCATCATATTTATTATTGGTGTACAATCATCATCATTTGTTGGGTGCCATAATTTTTTTTTGGGGGAAGTTAAGCTTTAATGGAAACTATATTAGAAATTGGTGATTAGCGGTCATGGTGTGCTTTGAACTTGGATCTCCTAACTATAGAGAAAGTATATGCCAACTCTTTCACAAGACTTACGGATAAAAATATACTAATTGTTTGAAATCCGCAGCATACAAAAATCTATCTTAAGCAGACCCTATGTTGGAAATTGAGATATCATAATCCCACATTCTCTAGTTAGAAAAAAAAAAGATGAATTATTGTAATTTTCAAAAGTACATTAAATTATTTAAATTGGCTCAAACTCATAATTATTTTATTTTACTTATTTACAAATATAATTTTTTTATTGCATTTAGCCATAAGAATATGCCAACCTTTACAAACCAACAACAAGACCAAATGCCAAAAAGAGTGATTAATGCTCAGCATCAAATTATTCCATAAACGAAAAAAATAGACATAAATATAGTATATTAATATTCCAGGAAAACAGCATGGATGGTCCAAGATTTCCGGCGAAGGGTTTGTGGTCTTCCTCTGCTCCTCCCAATCTTCTGGCGCTAATCGCCGCCGGTGAGCGCCGGAGGTGGCGGAGGAAGTCACGGCTGCCGTCAATCTCTAATGGTTCGGGTAGGTTTACTATTCTGGGACCTAATGCTCGCTTTCATGTGGGTGTGGTCGGGTGCTCTTGTCAGAATATTCGTGTTCTCTTTTCTCCAATTAGGGGGACGCCCTGAAGGAGAAGCGCTTAAGGTTGTGCTCTCGGTCCTTTACATGTTCTTCTTCGCATGGCTTGGCGTTATAAGCAGGGGAGGCGCTTATAATCCGCTCACAGTGCTCTCCTCGGCGTTTTCTGGTAGCCTCGATGACTTCCTTTTCACGGCCTTCGGGAGGATTCCTGCTCAGGTGAGAGATTTATTATTATTATTATTATTGTTGGCGATTAAGATTGTGGTTGAAGTGGTTTTTCTTGATTTGAGCGGTTATGGCTATGCTGTTCTTTCAATTCCTTATTTTTCATGGATGGGGTAATTACTTATGTTCATCAGTTGCGTTAAGTGATGGTTTTGTGTGTACAGAATGTGGTTTAGGTTTCTTTGTTTTTGATTCCTTGTGAATGTGAACTGGCAAAAGCTTTTTGTTTTTGAATAAACTATGATTACGGAACAATTTCAGAAATTTCGTTCTTCTTTGTAATTACAGCATTGTAAAAGGAGTTTTAAGCTTTTCCATTTGATTGAAGAAGAGTTGATGTGCACAACTTTATCCATGCATTTGCAGGGAGATTGTTTTTATGACCCGAAACTGTTAATGCATTGGCCAAGCCAAGGCTTTGCATTAGTAGCAAAATTATACAAATTAAGATATTTTTTTTTATGATTACTCATTGAAAGTAGAACTTATAAATCACATTCTCTTAGTAGAAACCCCCTTTTTATAGATTTATTGTAAAAATGAGTGGAAGATTTTATTGATTTAATTATTTACTCACTTTAGAATACAAATTAGTTTTAATAGAAAAGAATGGAGATAACCGACAGTTTTCCCATGGATAACAAATGAACCATTTAATTGGAAGGGATGATCTGACAAAAAAGCAGTAACACATGATCTAAATTTTAAGTTTTGTTTTTTTCTTACTTTTAATGATACACAGGAGGAAAGGAAAATGTCTTTATTGGCAAATAGATTGGGAAATGCATAGATATCAGATATACCCAACTTGGAGTTTAAACTCTTGAAATTGTTATGGTGAAGGGGCATAGTGAGGATATCAATTGTCTAAGGTTTGAGGGAGTTTAAACAAGTTGTACAGTTTGGGCATAAATCTTTTTTCTTGATAAAATGGTGATTATTCTCTATATGTCTGGTATGATCATGAAGAACCAAGTTATTTGCAATGTTGATGGTCTCCTAATTCTTGCAGCATTCTCTTCAATCATATTCCTTCAAAAATCCTATGTCATAGCCTTCAGTATTTTTTAAGCACATCTTCGTTCTACAAAAGTTTTTTATTTTGCTTTTCCATGTGATTAAGTTTCTTTATATATGTGTGCAACGTCTAGAAGTTGATCTCCTACTAGTGATAGAACTTGCCCAATCTGCATCATTGAACACTTAGGCATCTGTTGATAGGGTTTGCATTTTTTTATTATTTTTTTTCAAATATTGAAGGATTCAAAAAGCACCTTTTGTGCTTTTTTGCGTGATTCATGAATTTACCAGTCATACTAAAATTTAAGTAAAGATCAAGTCTATTATATGTGAGATAATCAATTTTTTTCTCAAGTCTTTGATGTCTTACTTTATCAATAAGAGGACTTCCTTCTTTAGGCCTCATCTTAATATTTGAGATTATTTGTATGTCTATTAATTTACATTCCATCATTCCGATTTTTAAGGAGATCTTGAACATACTTTGGCCAGGATACAAAGATGACATCTCTTGATTATTTAATTTCCATGTTAAAGATGTAATGAAGTTTTTCCAAATTCCTAATCCTAGATTCTCTTACTAGAAAATCTTTTTAGTCAGATTTTTTTTCACTCATTATATCTAGTAAGAGTAATATCATTGACATAAACAATCAACATAAAAACTTGTTATTTTAGATATAGTTTATGAACATAGCTTGACTTGTTCGACATTGAGAGAATCCATGCACCTTTACTATCTTTGATAATCAATCAAAATTTGCACATGGTGATTATTTTAGACCATATAAAATTTTTTGAAGCTTACAATTTTTGCTAATAAAACTAATATTAGGATAGGATCTTGGAATATAGGTACTCTCAATGGTAAATTTATGGAATTAGTTGATATTATGATTCATAGGAAAATTATTATCTTATATATTCAAGAAACTAAGGGTTGAAGAAAATGCTAAGGAAATTGATAATTTAGGTTTTAAACTTTGGTATTCTGGTAAGAGACGCACTAGAAATAGTGTAAGTGCAATTATAGATAAGAGTTTGAAGGGTAATGTTGTAAAAATTAATAGAGTTAGAGATAGAATTATAGCCCTTAAGAAGATTATCATTAATACTAAGATTTTTAATATTATAAGTGCTTATGCTCCTCAAGTAGGTTTAGATACAGAGTCTAAAGATAAATTTTTAAAGATAGATACAGGGTCTAAAGATAAATTTTGGAATGACTTAGAATACTTAATACAAATGATACCTCTTGAAGATAAAATTTTTTTTGGAGGAGATTTAAATGGACATGTCGGTAGAGTGGTAGAAGACTTCAGAAATACTCATGGTGGCTACGGTTTTTGAGTAACTAATAAAGAAGGTATAGTTATTTTAGATTTTTCTTTAGCGTATGATTTTGTTATTACTAATACTTTATTCAAGAAAAGAGATGAACATCTTATTACTTATAAGAGTGGATCTAATAAAACAAAAATTGATTATTTTCTTATGAGGAGAAGAGATCGTCGATTGTAAAGGAGATCGTCACGATTGTAAAGGTTGTAAGGTCATTTCAAGTGAAAATTTAAGTACCCAACATCGTTTATTAGTTCTAGATTTTAAGATTAAGTGTTGTAAAATAAAGAATACTAAGACTCATTATCGTAGAATTAGATGAAGAAACTTAAAACACACAAATAAAATTATTTTTATGAGTAAATTTTAAGATTTTAAAATTTGGGATATTCGTGAAGAAGCAAATGTTATGTGGGATAAAGTAACAATCACTATTAAACAAGTAGCAAAAGATGTACTCGGAGAATCAAAAGAAAAAGTTGTTATAAATAAAAATAGTTGGTGGTGGAATAATAATGTGCAAGAAAAGATAAAATATAAGAAGTTATGTTATAAAAATTGATTCAAATGTAAAAGCTTAGAGAACTGGCAAAAATATCAAACGACCTGCAGGGAGTTTAAAAGAACAATCTGTGACACTAAAAATTCTGCTTCTTAATGATGTTTATAATAAATTAGATACTAAGGAGGCTGAAAAATATATGTATAAACTAGCCGAACAAAGAGAAAAGAAAAGTAAAGATTTAACTCAAGTAAAGTGTATTAAAGATGAAAATCAAAAAGTACTTTTCTTAGAAAAAAAATATTAAACATAGGTGGGTAAGTTACTTTGATAAACTTTTTAATGAAGTTTCTGAAAATACGATCGACCTTAGTGATCTTAATATCGTGTA